GGAATGAGACCGAAAATTTTATCAGATATTCCTTTTGAATATAAAACATTAATGGAACAATGTTGGGATGCTGATTCGTTAAAAAGACCTGATATTATTACTCTTTATAAAAAAGTTAATGAATTAAGAAAATTATCATTTCAAGATACATCGAATGAATCGAATAGTATATTTAAAAAATTTATTAGGCTGTTTCAAAGAAAAAAAAATGGTAGTTCCTTATTTCAAAGTTTTAACAGCGGTTATTATAAGGAAGTTACTTATACAAAAAACCAAATTTGTACAAGTAAAATTCATCGTTTTGAAAATTTATCTGAACAAATCAATGTAATAGAAGTTAAAAATGTGTTAGAAGGTATGATTCTAATATTCAGTCATGTTAACAAGTCAAATTTTTTGATAAAAAAAATTTAATATCGTTTTATTAAATAAATAACTAGAAGCACAAGAAGGTATAATTATTAAAATTTCTCGTTTTCATATTTAAATTTAAATATTTTAATAATATATATTAAAATGTGTATACGGAAAGCATTTCACAGTAAACCTTATGATTTTAATATTCCAGATAAATAGTAAGTATTTATCAAAAAAAAATATTTTTTTATTTATTATATCGTAACAATGTTAATCATTTTTTTTCTTTTTTAGTTAACGATTTTATTAATAGTTCAGGTAGTAAAAGTCATTCATCAAAAACAAGCTTAAGGAATAGCGTTAGTAACAAGTTTAAAGGTAAAACATTTTAATTTATTTTAAGCAAAAAAATTCAAATGAAGGTAGACAAACGATTGTACTTTTTTTTTTTTTTATTAATCTAAAAATAATTTAAATTTTCTCATAGATATTCAAAGTAATTCTAAAGGAAAAGCTAAACAGCAGAATAATGATGATTATAACTAATTATAATTTATTTTAAGGAATTAATTAATTATCCAAAAAAAAAAAAATATAGAAAAAACCAAATACTTACGCTAATCGGAAATCAAATTACTGGTTTTGGCAATTTATTAATCAGCTAATCTCGTTATAAGTTAACAAATTCACCCCTTTTCAAGATAAATATGCTTAGAGAATTTCACAATTATAATTTCAACAAAAAAATATGATATATAGATTTACTCAAGGTTTTCAAAATTTTTATGATAAATAAGAAATTAACATACTTATAATTTTAATGAAAGTAATTTCAGAATCCATAGGTTAAAAAAACATTCATGTATTAAAAAAAGTTATATCTTACGAATAAACGACTTAAGACTTTTTAAAATACTGTAGCTCAATTATTCGGTTAATAACTAAAACTTAATCAAATTTTGTTCAGCAGTATGTAATGCAATTATTTTATCAGAAATTTAATTTAAATAACTTAGTTCATTTCGTTAATACTAAAAAAGAAAATATTCCAAACAAATCTCAAAATATTAAAAATCTTAAATCTCTACATTATTTTAATTCTATACTTTTCGGCCATAAATAATGTTATTAATGAAGTCCAACCCGTGAATGGATGATTATAATAGATAAAAGGAAAGTTAATTAAAATATCACTTTTCTAATAATAACGACAAAGTAACTTTTACCTTCTTAAACCAATACCCCCGTACTTTCAGAATATTATTCCCATACATATCCAGTTCTTTTAAATTCCTATTACAATTTATTGTTCAGTAAATAAAACATTATAATTAGACGGTATTTTTTTTTTGTTATTTTTACCTTGTAGACATTTTTGATGATATTGTTTCTCAATTCATCATACATAGCCTTTGCCTTTTCTTTATAAAGACCTTCAACAATTGCATAATTCTAAAAGAAAACTAAATATTAGAATGAAATAATTATTTAACCTTCTATATTCGAATTTCTTACTTTATATATTGAAGATAATACTAAATAATTGATATTTATCCATATATTTCCTTTCCAATAATCTTCTCCCGTATGAAATAATTTTTTAGATTTTGACAATGACCTTAATCCGTATATAATGAAACAAGAAAAAGTATTATTTAAAAGTAACAAGCGAAATATGACCTTCAAAGTGTAAGTAATGTACCTTGACCATAATTCCTTTGGATTATGAATCATATCTAATATTGCTCCCAACTTTGGTGAATCATTAGGCAACAATTCTAACACTATCGGAAATAGCGACAAATATCCTTTATGACAAACAAATACTGATTCCTCTAAATTAAAAGAATGAATTACATATCAATTATATTATATTAAATAAATTATTAAACGTCAAAAACCTACCATCTTCTTCGACTGATAAATCACGAAATGCATCATGTTCCTCACTCCAATGTAAATCTAGCATAAAAACATTTGCAAATAAATATACTCTAAAAAAGTACATCATCTAAGAAAACAATAATTTACAATTAAATTAGCAACGATATTTTTATATTCTTCTCCAAAATCTTCTGCATCATCATCTTCTCCGCAATATTCTTGAGTGTTCTTGCCATAAATCCAACCCAGCACATAAGATCAACATGCAATTCAGCAGGATGTGGTGGTGTCGGTCTAGGATAATCATCAAGTACTAATTTTTGTTAAGAAAATTATTCAATGAATTTTACAATTTCTAAAAACTATACTATTTTACACACCAGAAGTTACGGCATGCTCAGAAGTTCGACCACGCCATCTATAAGCTTCTCTACTTTTGCTTTTCTTCTCCATTCTTTAATTACACCCCATTGAGTTCTTCTAAGCCATTTATAATTTAACTTTAATTTCGGATAAATTTCTTCTAAATAAATTTTTTGCTAATTCTATATCCAAAATATACCTTAATGAAATATTTGCTGTGATCTGTTGTACTGGTTATATGCTCATTGAATATATGTTGTCCAATTACATCTAATATATATATATAGATTAATAATTATTTAAAATTTTATAAGATTGAATGCGTAACATATACATGTAAAAATTCTAAATATCACCGTCTGCACCGAGTTTAAGTTTGTTCTCTACATCATCAACTCTTTCAATAAATGCTTTTATTGCAAATAACAACGTAGGAGGATTCGCATAATAAGGATATTGTGTTTGAAATTCTACTGGAACCTATAAAGAAAATGTTTAAAAGTTTCCACAAAAAAAAAAAAAAAAAAAAAAATTCTTTTCAATTCAAACCTTACTACAAGCTTCCTCTCCCAAATCTGTTCTCGAGCAACCCAACCATCACCGTCAATTAAAGAAACCCAATGTTTAATAATATCCAGACTAATAACAAAAAAATTTTTATAATCACAAAATATAAAATTTTCTTTTTACAATTAGATTTTCTAAGAAATATTTTGATTCTTAAAATCATTGTCCCATATACCAATCAATAATTGATGAAAATCTTCATCCCTAAAATAACAAAAGTTCCTTAAACGGGTTCATTTAGAAATTAGATCATAAATACATAAATTTACCAATAAAATCCACGAGGAAAAAAAAGCCGAGATGAAGTTGCTGAGCTAAGGATGATGTTAATTCTGAATCTGCTTGTCGATATTTTGTCCAAAATTCTCGTCACTTCTGTAAATGATCGATCGATAATGCTTGAACCTAAAGAAGGAAAACATTTTAAAACAAATTCTTTTAAAAAGGTAATTTAATCGAATGGAAAGATCAAACCAAAAGTTTCTCAAATCTCAAATCAAACTAGATTCAAGACCTGATGTAAAACTTTCAACATAAAAAAAATTAGATGACATAATTGTTTATTACTTACAGTCAAGGTGAACAGGCGTTGATTCCGATTGGAAGAATATCAAACTAAAACAATTTCATTTCGATTAATACCATCAATTGTTGATTAAAATTAATTAAAACAACTTACTTGAAAAGGACCTTAAACCATATTTTGAAAAATAAAGAAATTTGAATCATTTTCTAACTTCATTATCCAATGAAAATAAATACGGTAGTGGAGAAATATAATCTTCTTGTGACTCATCTCTTGCTTTCTAATCAGATGGCCTTGTAATATATATTTTAAAATATTATTTTATTTAATTAATTTATCAATCAAATAAAAAGAATACTTATCGCCTTATTTACCCTTAGCACGCCAAACATCTTCATCAGGAACTAAATGTCTCCAATATTGGATTTTTGATAGATTAGTTGATGCTGGAACTCCTGGAGGAATATTCGTCGGCACCTTATTATTTAGATCTATACGATACATCAAAAAAAACTTATTATATACAACCTTTCTAATCAAATCAATAAAACATATTCTTAGGTGAATAATTTGAATATAATTTTTTACCATTGAGAAACTTAATTGAAAATTTTCCTAATTCTGGAGTTTCTCCTTTAAAGTTCGACTGGATTATCCAAACCCTGTATGTAAAAAGATGAATTCATAAAATTAATCTATACAAAAAATTTAATATCAACCATTTTATTCGAGTCCAAAATAATAAAGAATTGAAATTCTAGAAGGTTCTGAAATTTAAAAATACATTATTATATTATGATTCATTTTGCAATTAGGAAGAAAAACTTTTTTTTTACCTGGATTTCCGGATATACGAATCGCCCACTCGCGACCTAAATAATAAATTTACCTTTTTTTTTTAAAGAAAAAATTATTTTATACCATGATTTCCTTCCGGAATTTTTAATAATTCAAGTTTTTAATTTAACGTTATTTTAGTATCAGATAAAGTTTGCATAGCAAAATTACGGCCATCGTGTTTTTAAAACTATATTCGTCTAATTAGTCTCCTCAACAATGCTCACCTCGATTATAATTAATTACCAACCAATCACTAAATTTTTTTTTATTAACCCCGGATCCCAAACCGAAAATGCTAATGTGCGTGGCCTAACATTTCTGTTTTATGTAACTTATATCTCACTTGTATTAGCTTTTTTCCGAAGAAAATGTTGTTTCGAAAATTGATATATCAAAGAGCAAGTGTACTTGCAGCTTCAAATCAATCATTACTATGGGGTGGGGAACTTATAGACCAAGTTTATATTTCGATACAAAGTCACGTTTGCCTGAATGATTAATGTTGTTTGGAATTGAGGATATCACGTATCCTTTACTATTATATATTTTACTATATTTTATAATACAAAAAACTTTTTATTCTTTAACACTTTCTTTTTAAAAAAAAAATGATATTAGACATACTTGGAATACTGGTAATGTTTCAGTTGAAAGTAAATTGAGAAAGAAAAAAAAACAAATAAACCAAGTATTAATACCATAAATATTTGTATTTGTTACATCGCCTTGGATAATTTTGGTTAACCATTGAAGATCAATTTGTTAGGATCCATATCATTTTTTTAGGATACCATATTGTTTAGGATTCTAATTAAAATTTTAATAAATATATATGCTTTGTTTCTCTTGGAATTTAAGTTTTTTAAGTTCTTTTAGCACACTTCGCCTTCCTTTATTTATACATACACCTTAATTCCTTCCCTTTTTTTCCTTGCGATATTATCGCTTTCGTAATTTTTAAAAAACTTCATAATTTTTATGCTTTAACTTCGTTAATTTCGTTGTTTTAAATATTTTTCATTAGTTTCATTCTTCCGATTATTATTTTACGTAGTTTAATTAATTAGCATAACTCGATTTTAATAGTAAACCTCCCATTTAGTGATTAGCGTTAATAAAATAAAATTGCGAAAGTGTAGCAACACTGATTAATTAATTTTAGTGAATAATAAAATTTTCAGTTGCTTACTAATAAAAAAAATCAACATTTCAAATTATACATAAACGAAAGAATTGAATACAACATTAATAAAATTATATCTCAAAGCACGTCATAAAATTTTTTCATATAAACCTTTTTTTTGGTTAAAATTTAAAGGATGACCCGGCCGGGTGACGTGATCCGAAAATGCTAATGTGCGTGGCCTTAAGATTTCGGTATAATCCATTGTGAAAATTCCTTAATTAACATCAATAGAGATCAAAATTTATAGAAAAACTTTTTTTTTTTTTTTTAATATTTCGTCGATATTAACCAGCACTCCCAAAAATCATTAGATAATCAAGAGATACTTTCTCAATCTATCCGAAATAAGAAAAAAAGTTGAAACGTACATTTCTTATCAAAAAAAAAAAAAATGCGTAAAAGGTTTATAAAAGCCATTCGAAATGCACAATGTTCTTTCTTTTCTTGTATGTGTATCATCGCCCTATGGCTCATTTTTTTAATCACAAAATAAATGTAAGTTCCTTTTATTTTGATAAAAATAATAATTAATATGATTATTTTTATCTCAACTTAGAATCAAAATTTAAGATAATAACAAAATTTTTCAAGTTAAAGTCTGAATTCTTTCTTACCGTATTATTGTGAGTTGGTTTATTGTGTGAATTTTTATTATTCAATATTTTTTTCGACATCTTGTAACGTTTTTGTTCTCATTTAAAATTACAAGGTATAAGTTCTTATCTTCCAATCTCTCTTTCGTTCGTTTTCTCACCTTTCACCTTCGTTCATACCCTCCGCCCTCAAGAAATGAGGAAGGTGGGAATGGACGAAGGTGAGAGAGGGGGCACCGAACAAAGTTAGATGAGGGAGTGAGAGACAACAAATTGTGGGAGGAGGGATGAACGAATTTGTGTACTAAATTGAGGGTGGAGCGGTATGAACGAATATTTGAGGGTGGGATGGTATGAACGAATGGTTTCAACTTTATTTGTTTTTAGTTTTTTTGTATTGGTATTGGTATTGTTATTATTGTTATCAAGTTTTATTATTTCACCATTAATAATTTCCAAATAATAATCCTTCATACATAGCTTATATTAAAATTGATTTTTATATGAAGTTTCCTAATAAATTGATGCATTTTCACACTTCCATATGTCTTTTTCATGTGATACCTTCCTTTTGTTTCAAAAAAAAGATTCACAATTTGGAGATAATAAAGAACTTCTTTGAGTATTATTCTTATATATATAAAAAAAAAAATTATTTGAGAGTATTTTCAAAAAAGTGAGATATTCCGTTATTCTTGCATCAATTTAAAATTTTAAAATTTTCGGATTTTTTTCAAAAAGTGCCCGTGATATTTTCAACAATTCTAATATTTTGATTAAACAATAGTAAAAAAAATCTATATTATAAAATAAATTATAGATTCGCACTAAAAATGTAAAAAGATGTCATCTCAAGAAAAAAAAAAAGTAATTCCGTCTTAATGGTAGATCTTAATTAGAATCTTAAAATAAATTATTAAGAAGACGGAGATAATATAATATACGAGGAATGATTGTTAACCATAAATTGATTTATTGTCTGACAAACAATTGATAACTTTTGATTCTAGAATATATTTTTTTGTTATGAATTGAATTATTGGTTACCATCCAACCAAATTCAAAACTTGTCAAGGATGATTTTAACTTGAAAATCTCAACCGATAAAATTTTATAATTTAAAAATTTTTTAAATTTTTTTTATTTAGAAAATCGATTTTTTGTATATTACATAAAATCCAACTGAAAAACACACTCTACAACCTAAGAGAATCTTTTCCTTCCATAAAATTACATATATTTTTGTTGTTATAGTTGTATATTTGTATCTACTTGTAAGAAGATCTTAAAAAAACTTATTTTTAAAGCGAAATTTCGCGTAAATGTAATAAAAAAAAGTAATCGTCTAAAAGGAAAATCAATGGTTAGTTACGTATCCTTTTGGTCACTACGTATGCCAGAGAATGGCATCCATAATTTCTTTGTTAATTTCCATCGCTGGTTTAGCCAAAAATCCTAGGAAAAGGTTAAAGAAATCTGTGTTTGGTTGAGGAACGCTTATGGGAATCGTACGTTTAAAATTTATAATGGATCTTCCTATGTAAATAATAAGTGTAACAAATTACCGAATTTTAGTGTGTGTTGATCATGTATACTCTCGAAAAATCTTATCAAGTTCTTATCCTATTTTGAACAAATTATGTTTTCGGTGTAATCTGTTAAAATTCCGTAAATACAGTATTTCCTATTTTGAACAAATTATGTCTTCGGTGTAATCTGTTAAAATTCCGTAAATACAGTATTTCCATTTTGAACAAATTATGTCTTCGGTGTAATCTGTTAAAATTCCGTAAATACAGCATTTTTGGTGTGACATAATTCTAAATAAAAGACTCATAAAAATTAATGATTGTTGACCTTTAAATAAATTATGTCTTTGATTAGAAAAGAATTAGTTCAAGCAGTGATTGCTAAAACACTTGCGTTAATAGATCATAATAATCCAGACAGGCGGTATAAATCTAGAAAAAAGGCTATTCTTTCTGATAAATCACTTACAAAAGCCGAAAAATCAGAAGCAATAAAAATAATAACTGAATATTATAACCGTGACAAAGTACTTTATAAACGAGACAGAGCAAGAACTTGTGAAAATTGTCATAAAGGATGTTATGCAACATTATATTGTGAACATTGTATTCGAAGTTATTTAAAAAAAAAATTTTCAGACTGGACATCTGGAAATAATGACATCGATCGCTTAATACAAAAGTGTCAATTGGATTCAATTCGACCCAACAAGATAATTGAGTGGATACCATTTAAAAATTTGCAGAATATTGAATATTTAACTAAAGGTGGAATTTCTGAAATTTACACAGCAGATTGGATTAATGGATATTATGAAGAATGGGATTCTAAAAAACTAGAATTAAAAAGATTAGATACGACATGTAAGGTAGTACTTAAGAGACTAGATAATGTTGTAAGTGCTAATAGAAGTTGGTTTGACGAGGTAATTTTTTTTTTTTTTTTAATAATAAAAAAAATCGTGGGCGTTTTTCCTATTAACGTCACGTTACTGATCTGATCATGTGACAATTAAAAATTGTTCATAGGCAAAATCACATGCGGAAATGAGCAATAAATGGGATGAAATAGTTAGATGTTTTGGTTTAACTCAAGATCCAAATAATAAAGGTTACATGCTTGTAATGATTAAAATGGATATGGATTTAAGAACATATTTAAAACAAAGACATGATCAAATTACATGGAAGGATAGAGTTCAAATTACGTTTAATATAATTAAAGCACTCTTTCGAATTCATAATGAAAATGAGATTCATAGAGATTTGCATTCTAAGAACATATTACATTCTACAATAAATGATGATTGGTGTATAAGTGATCTTGGATTTTGTGGTCCTGCTGACAAACAATTA